TTTTTGGCGTCAGTTCTCGAACCACGCAGCTTGCGTACATGAAGAAACCGTCCGAAAGACCAGTAAGCACTTCTACAGCCTCCGGGTGTTGGTATAAAAGGCTAAGTGGCCGATCTTGCGCGGAATTATGAGCCAACTTCGAGCGAATGAAGAGGCGGATCTCGTCTTCCGCAGACTTCCTCGGCACGTCCTGGAGGTCCTCGAAGTAGACAATAGCCGTGTCTAAACAGCCCCTGATGGAGTTCATGACCACGGCCTCGGGACGTGTGCAAATCAAGATGCGGAGGAAAGGAATTGTGTTGCCCATACGACACAAGAGCGCGGTCACTTTCTCGATTGCATCTCTATGACTTCGCGAGCACCTATCGAGATCCTCCACAATGATAAGTATTGGGTCAATTGGCTGCACAGTGATCGATTGAAGACGTGCTAAGGGCTTCATGATCAATTCTTCTGCCTCAGTCTCTAGCGACCAAGTTGGGCCCTCGTTGGAAGGTCTATTGAATGTCTCGTCTATCAGGTGCTCAAACCCAGCGACGGATTCACTAAGCAGGTCTGCTATGATTAGCATTAAATCGTTGGGATCACCCTGGGTGCCCTCCTTAGTATCGAAAGAGAGGTGTGCGCCGGCAGAATGAGCTGGAAGTTGATGCCACAGTGCGTCGGCGATCGTCGTTTTGCCGATGCCTGCATGTCCGTGGAGAACGCACACCCGTCGCTCTTCGTGGGAAGACAGAGCCCAATGTTGTAGGCTTGAGATAATCGCTCGGCGTGTCTCAGGGTGGATCCACGAGTCTATCTCGGGGCCGAGGTCACGTAACCTCATATCCTCGGGCGATAGTTGAACAAAAGTTCCCGGACTACCTGCAGAAGGTGTTAGGTTGCTAAGTCTCACCTTCCATTCAACGATCGTACCGTGACAGGTAATATCTCGCCTTCGCTGGATGCGCTTGTTGTGAGCATACCTTTGTAGCATGTTCTAGGGGAACAAGACTTGCCTCCAAATCCTCGAGTCTCTCAAATACAACCTCGATCAAAGTTGCCAGTGCCACACCGTGTTTATCTTTCCCCTTCACCAGAACTTCAATCGAGCGTCGATAAACCAAGTAATTACGAACCTCTAGACATTTTATCACGCGTTTCAAATTCCGACGCACGACCTTGAACGTAGCGCACAACTCCTTGAGAGGTAAGCATTTCCCGTAGCGAGACGCGGCGTGCTTAGCGACAAGCGTAGTCTCATCCAGCGTCCTACATTGAATATGAGGATAAACTGTGACATGAAAACATGAGGCGCACCGATGGACATCCCGAAGACGTGCATGCACTGGGAAGTTGTCGAAAGCGGATTCGATGATGTCGGCGGGTAATGCGAACGTTGCAAAATGTTCTGAGAGCTTTATTGTGGTATTCTGCAGTAAACAGTGGAGCCGAGATGTGATTGGATCTATCTTCTCGTTCTATTACAGGCATTAGCGATGGATTGTGATTCAAGAACACTGTGCTGGACATACCCTAGTCTTCCTTCGGATGTACTTGGCTTTCTCGATCGCATACCAAAGACTGCTATAGGCAGTCAAGGTTTCTCCTTCATCGACATCTTGCGACATCTGAGATGGAGTGAAAGAAGACTCAGGGGGCTCTTCTGCACTTGACTGCGAAAGTTCGATGGCCTGTGAGTCGACCATCGCAGAGTCGCGTTCTAGAGAAGTATTCATCCCGGACAGAGACAAAGACGGTGGTATGAGACGATATGGCAGGTTGTGGTGTATACGCCCATGGTCTTAAGGCTCCCCGTACAAAGTGCCGTTGCCATGGCCTCAATCGCAACAAGAGCCTCTAAGCACCGAACACATTGACCATCAACCACGCAGACAAGCGTGCGTTCTATGCCTTTGCCTACAATAATATTCATTGCAGTGAGAAGCTGCCCTGCGGTGTGACGGGATCCTTGTCTCATTGAGCGTCGCGATGCTAGCGATAGTTACTATGGATATGATGCCATCCTATTCCTTGTAACACTGACGGGCCACACAGCCTCCCGACTTCTCAACGCCCTAGGATACTTTTGAACTAGCACCGCTGGAAGCGTCTGCGTTGTACTTCGACATCATTGCTCTGTTAGAGACATGGTAGGCGCCACTGGGGGCAATAACAACAGGGGCGTTAGACGCGGCGATTTCGGGCGAGGGAATTGTACATGTCAGGTCCTCCGATTCGGATATGCCACGAAAACAAAGCTATGAGCAATATCACAAGGTGCCTTCACATATCTCTGACGGTACGTTGAATGATGGTAGAGTTGAGCGTGGAGCAACGGGCCCGCCCTTGTACAACAATGTCGTAAGTTTCTGGCTTGGACCGAGGAATCCTTAAGTCGCTTCGTCACATGCTGGAAGAGAGCAGAAGGATCCTGCAGGCTAAGGGCCGACTGAGAATGATCACCTGGCATCGGGCGCAAATGTCTCAGGAGTTCATCGCCGATTCAGAGCACGTAGGACCAGTACGGTGTAATCCAATTTCCCACAGGCTGGCAACGGGCATGGTGTCAACTAAACCAAATAATGTGTACATAAACTGTCAATCCGATGCTTAGGCAATCAACTTCCAGATACGGAGTACACCCGAAGAGTATTGGCAAATCAACTATCCACCTTTTCCTTCAGCTGCTTCGCTTGTAATCTTATTGTTCATAAACTGCGCCGGCGCCATTGGAGTTGACGACGAGGCACTGACCGCTCTGCTTCGCGGCTGTCAGCTCCACGGTTCATCGATGTTGCTTCCCTGGGTGCTGCCGTCTCGGACTGTATGTCATACATAAGAAAGGACAACGTCTCGTCACATGAGTCTCTCCCTTGTTCCAAGCCTGTGATACGCATCCCACGCACGTTCAATAAACCATACTCGAGATAAATCTGGCATAAGATAGGATATGAACCTGTCGCATGTCACAAGGCCGCCACCTTGTTCTTGCACTTTTTGAGTTCTGTCATATATTTGATGCGTGATGCAGCTGATACCGATATCCGTTCGGTGGACTCCGAGTGCAGACGCGTGGATCGATGTTTCTAAAATGGTCAATCAGAGCATCGCCGTGCTGTCCAGCACAAATACCTTCTCTCAGCCTCCATATCCTCGTCAATTTCTCCTCACGTTAGCCAACCACATCAGACACAGAGCTGAATCTTGTGACATATTGACTCTACGGAAGATATGGCTCCGAACATGTCTTCTGAGGCGTTGGATGTGAGTAGTGGCCGGAGACTCCTCTAGTTCCTCCATGAAGGCTCAGTCTTTGATAGTCACAGGTACAACGCATGCAGCTTGCGATCAGAGGGTTTCTCAGTTTCGGTCCCGATGAGGCGTCATCTGGTGACCTGCATCGGCAATTCCTCGAGGTTCGCAAACAATTTTATGGGATGCTGCAAGGTCTTGACTAGCCATATAGCAAGCTCATGGATTATCAGACCCGGCTTCGGGCGCTGTCCTCACAAGTTTGACAGAGGACTCTTGCAAATCAATCCGAAAGCTGAAGGGAGAAGATGCCAAAGCAATCATCGCTTGGTTAGACCCGGTGAGAATATCGAAGTTTAGCATTCGTGTCATAACTGATGCGCGGTAGGTAATGCGACGTGGCGTGGTAGACAATAAGGCACAGCAACGAGGAATTCGAATCATGCGGAAACTTTGTAGAAGGAACAATATGTACCCGCCGTCTATCCATCTCCCTCCTGGAAAGATCCGGCTCAAGTCCGAGCAAGCAGAAAACCTAGGGGGACAGGCCGATGTGTATATGGGGACTTTGGACGGCCAGCAGGTAGCTGTCAAGCATATTCGACACCACGAGAATCAGAGGCTGCCTGAATCGCAAGTCACGGTAGGTTTGTCGCAGATGGCGGTAAAGCAGTATTCATTGTTAGTCTGACAGGCATACTGCAAGGAGGCCGTGTACTGGAGGTATTTGCGACATAGGAACATAACACCATTCTACGGTGTGGACACAACAGTGAGAAATTTCACGCTTGTCTCTAAATGGATGGAGGGCAAGGACCTTCGTACGCATCTCAAAGGCAATCCGGGAGCAAATCGCATTCGCCTGGTGGGAATTTTTGACCAGATGCCTTACCGACAATACTGACAACAATCTCTTCGCATTACGTAGCTGCTTGACGCTGCGCGAGGTCTCAGATATTTACACAACCTCGGCGTAATACATGCTGATCTCAAAGCGGTTAGTCCATATACATACCGACGAAGCTGTGCTGACGTATTCGACTAGCAAAATATCGTCGTGGACGAAGACGGAGTCGCCTGTCTTTGCGATTTTGGAATTTCCACGCTCACCCAGAACATAGAACTGTATACCACTCCAACGGGATCTCCGGGCGCCGGAACCCTTCGATGGAAGGCGCCAGAGCTTATGGAGGAATCACTGGATCCGCAGGGTACCACTCATCCTCGTCACACCCTTGGTAGCGATATATACGCCTTCGGCATGACAATGTGGGAAGTGTGTAATTGTCTAATGCACTCGTGTCGCTGCTCATGGTCTCCAAGATGTTCACAGGCCTTTTACCATACCATACTGTGCACACGCAGATCGTCGCAGTGCGTATCTTGGAAGGCTATTTACCGTCGAGACCGCCGTATTCCTGGACCACCGAAATTGGGCTCTCCGATGAGATATGGGCCCTTATGGACGACACCTGGGCGAAGGCTCCGGCAAAACGTCCCAATATCGATGAGGTTTTGGAGACGTTGGAGGCGCAGCTGGCACGCAGACAAGAGTACGGTATCCCTCCTCAATGGCCGATGGCGCTTGTTGTTGGACAAGGGTGGGGTGGATACAGGAAGCGGGACGTCCAGTAACGTGTTGCGTGATTGCTCTACTACAGATCGCGCTAGACACCACGACTAAGTATGTTGGTTCGGAAGTCCTGTGATAATTATTAGGCCATATTACCGTATCTGACATAGTCGACCATCGCAATGACCCTATGTGCCCCATGGCTGAGTTGGTTACAGCGTCCGACTGTTATTCTTCATGCAAGCAAGGGACATCGGAAGGTCGTGAGTTCGAGCCTCACTGGGGCAGTCGTTTTTGTTGTGTTGATTTTGGTCGGGTCGACGCAGGTCCCTTCTAACACTGTATAAGCTTAACTTGCGGCAATACTACCTCTAGCACTGCTAGCATATATGGCTGCAAGAGTTTGCACGCGTTGCCGGTGTACTTAAACTTGTCTCATGCGCAACGCAAGTGAAGCAATCGCTACTAAATACCAATAAGCTTAGTCAGGGGATCGAACTACATACGCGTTGTAGTCTTTTTACTCTACGACATCTCGTTCTCTTTCTAGCGCAGCGCTCCATGCGATGACCTTCGGATGTGCTTTCACCTGGCACACTGTTAAAGTTTTTGACGAAGACGGTACGAAGACAAGCCCTACCTTCTTGGCGTCAAATCCTAGTACTTGCAGCCCATCCAGAGAGGACGCACGCGAAAGTGCGACATAACTCTGCCCTAGATGGGTCAAGAGAGTTACACATAGGTGGGAGCAAAATGATATGAAGGCCCACCTTTCTCGAACACAGATTTGAGGTCGATCTTAACCCGCTCGATAGTTTGCCCTTGGCTCTTATGGATCGACATGGCCCAAGCAAGCACTAATGGAACCTGGAAACGATTGAGATACATAATTCCACTGCTTGAATGAGGTCACTTACTTGTACACGCCTTGCAAGCAGTTTCCCTTCGTTATCCTCTACACGGAATTCCTCCCGGCCGAGCAGGACGATCTCAGTCCCTTTGGACGTACGGAATTCGACCAACGGGAAAAGTTCTTCCTCCTTCGAGCTCGTCTTCGCCTTTGTCTTAACATCAGGCTTCTTGTCCGCGAGCGTGTCAGCTGTAATAGTGTTCTCCTTGTCTTCTACAGGGACATTGTAAGATGCAACGGGTGTGCGTCCATCTGGACCGACTTCCACGTTCCGCACTACCCCCATCGTACTCTTCGTCGCCTGTGCCGACGAATCCTGTACACCCGAGCGCGGCTTCGCGCCCGGTTTCGTCTCCGTCGCCTGTGTGTGCCCGCCCACAGCCGATGTGACGCATTCCCGGAAGCCATAAAACCCTAGCACGCGCCCCACGCACCCGTTCACGAGGTGCTCGTCTACGTTCTTGATGAGCATAACCTGCGCGTCGCGTTTGAGGGCAAGCCGCACTGGTGCTGCCATTTGTTCCAATACGCGAGGAGATGAACCCGAGTCCCGCGCATCGAAGGTGTGCAGCCCACCGGTGAGAGCGGCGAGACGCGTATTGTTCGCGCGCTCGACCTGGGCGCGCAACGGGTAGAGCTCAGTTGGGAGGAGCCCAGAAGAGTGTGGAGGAAGGGGTCGGGAGAGTGAAGTGAAGGTGCTATGCGCGGAAGTAGAGATTGCGCCTTTCCGGAGCTCATTCAGAAGGAAAACAAATTCTGTTTGAGGGTGAATATTGTTTCCGGGGCGTGGAGGCTGGTACGAACCGGAGTCTTTCTGGCGATATACTTGAGTAAGGGTGATTGTATGCTCGATACACTTCTTCCACGCTTCGCTTTCGAATGCAAAAAAAGGTTCAGTGCCCGACTTTGTTACAGGGGGTAACTGAAAGAAGTCTCCGGTAATGACCAACTTCAGCAGGAAATCATATCAGATCCGAGGACACGGAAAATATATCTGAGCATGGTGACGATATACACACACCTGTATGCCTCCGAAAGGCTTGTCAGTCTTCTTTCGTAGGCGGTCAGCGAGGGCGGCAAGTGTGTCGAAGAGATGTCCATCCACCATCGACACTGCAGACGGGTGTCGGCACAAAATGGATGTGGTAGCATAAATCGCACCTTCATCAATGACGAGCACCTGCGTTGCTTTCCAACGCTGGAATGCTGGTTTGCATGTCTTGATACAACTGATCTGACGGTCGACGTTGTGCATCCCCGGGGTGACAGCACCCCACGAGTGTATGGTCATTCCTGAATCCAAGTCGTTAGACGCATGTAATAGAACATAAAAATCCCTCCGTACCTCCGATATTAGAAGCTGCCATCCCAGTGCTCGCGGTGACAGAAATTACCTCCGGTTTCTTGGCGTGCTTCTTGCGTAACGCCGAGATAATCGCACGTAGCAGGAGAGATTTACCCGTCCCTGTTGTCACACATAGGAGAAAACAATCAGCACATGTAACGCAGCCAAGCCAAGGTTGAGTACAGAAAACTCGTGGCAGATTGTCGTCGAGATGTACCTGCGGCGCCAGTAAAGAAGACACTTTTGCCCTCATCAACGACCATATTAAGGACCTTGTTCTGCTCTGTGTTTAGTCCTACATTCTGCCGTGCTTCCTTGTCGTCCTTTGGGCAGCCCGCAGCCTGTACTCGCGGGGTGAAGAATGCGTCCATCGTTCGCTGGCGTTTGGCATCGGGGACGTCGCCCTCGGACTTGCGCTTCCTAGCATTCGTTGAGGTCGTTTTCAATGGAGTAGTGCGCGCCATTGCGAGAGAAGACGAGGAGAGACCGTAAGACCAAAGGAGTGGCTGGCTGTCGTGGTGACGTTGCCAAGCTGAGAGCAAGACGCTCGACTGACGCGTTCAACTTTGAGACGCGTCGCGATCACGTGCTGTGGCTAAAGTCTTAGCGCCTGCTATTCTGCTCATCGTCGTGGACCTCGCAAACCTCTTTATCAGACGTTTGCTGAGGACTGCTCACATACTCAGGAACTTTATGAAATGTATTAAAGTCAACCAACTGGCACAAATCGCGCTCGACCTGAACACTCGGCGGACACCCTCACGCGTACATGACATGTGGTTATGCCTAATTCATCATTGGGGCACGGGCGGCGACTTCCTGTCTATAGCAACTGGTCCATTTAGTGCCTTGAGCAAAGCGACTCAGATTATATCTAGTCCTTGATTGGCCAATGACGAGCGTATTGCGCGGCAGCCACAGGCCAGGACGATATGCAGCAGGAATCCACAAGACAAGCTCTCCATCTGGCCCTCTAATCCACCCCTTTTCTGAATCAAATCTGAACAAGTCTCGAGGATCCTTGACGACGGACTCTTTATGTAGGCCGCGTGAGGAAGCAGGCTGACCGACTGAGATGTCTTCGGTCGTGGACACGTCAGTCCTAGTGCCCGTCATGAAGGAGGCGAATGCGGAATCGTAAGGGTAGATGGCAAAGGGGTGAATTGCAGCTTTCGGTGAATTAGACTTCAGGCTGCTCGTAAGGTCCGTGTTCTCAGCGGAGCCGATCGCAGTCTCGCTTCTGTCCGAAGTCGATGTGGTTGGTTTGACTGGGCTACAAAGATCCTCGAGTTGGCGCACTTCTCGTTCGCCCAGAGTCATCAAGTCCCAGACTCGGATTGTCTTGTCCGCCGAGCCCGACACGACTCGGGTCCCGTCCGGAGAGAAGACAACAGAATTGACGCAATCCGAGTGACCCTCTAGAGGCTGAAATAGGGGCTCCCCTGTCACGGCGCTCCAGATCCGTATGGTGGTATCAAACGATCCCGACACGATCCGTGTATCATCTGGAGAGAATGAGACCGTTGTGACTCGGTCCAAATGCCCCTCGATGGGATCCATCAGCGGCTCGCCTGTCGTAGCATCCCAGACACGGATTGTACTATCTCCTGAACCCGATACAATTCGAGCCCCGTCATGGGAAAATGCGACAGATGAGACCCAGTCAGAATGGCCTTCGATTGGTCCAACGAGCGATTCGCCTGTCATCGCATCCCAAATTCGGAGAGTCCTATCGTGCGAGCCCGACGCAATCCGGCTTCCATCAGGGGAAAATGCGATAGATCTGACCCAGAGAGAATGACCTTCTAATGGCTGCATCAGTGGCTCGCCCGTCATTGCATCCCAGATTCGGATAGTCTTGTCATGCGATCCTGATGCGATTCGAGTCCCATCGGGGGAGAAAGTGACAGAGTTGACCCAGTGGGAATGTCCCTCAAGTGGTCGCAGCAGTGCCTCGCCCGTCATTGCATCCCAAATGCGGATGGTTTTGTCTGACGCAGATGATGCAATTTTCGCTCCGTCGGGAGAGAACGTTACAGATTGGATGTGGTTCAAGTGTCCCTTCAGTGGGGGAAGCATCGGGCTGCCTGTGACTGTGTCCCAGACCCTGACGGTCTTGTCACTACAGCCCGACACAATCTGTCCTCCGTCAGGAGAGAATGCGACGGAGGTTATCCAAGCGGAATGGCCCTCCAGCGGTGGAATTAATGGTTCTCTGCTCAGTGCGTCCCAAACCTGGACAGTTCTGTCAAGCGATCCTGATACAACCCGGGTGCCATCTGGTGAAAATGCAACGGATACAACCCAGTCAGAGTGGCCTTCGAACGGTTGGGTCATCGGTTCGCATGTCACGGCATTCCAGATTCGGATTGTCCTGTCGGACGAGCACGATACAATTTGACTTCCATCCGGGGAGAACTCAACGGATGCTATCCAGTTGGAGTGACCCTCCATGGGATGGAGGAGCGACTCGCCCGTTGTTGCATCCCATACTCGAATCGTTCTGTCCGCAGAACATGATACGATTCGGGTTCCGTCTGGAGAAATTGCAACCGAGTTGACAATCTCAGCGTGTCCCGTGATCGGCTGAAGTAATGTTTCACCCGTCATTGCATCCCATACGCGAATTGTTGCATCACCGGAGCCCGAGACGATCCGGCTTCCGTCGGGGGAAATTGCGACAGATGTAATCCAGTCGGTATGGCCTTGACTCGACTGCACCAACGGAATGCCCGTCAGGGTCTCCCAGACACGGATTGTCCCGTCACCTAAGCCCGATACAATTCGTGCCCCATCTGGAGAGAACACAATTGAAGAGACGGTTCGAGTGTCGCACTCGATTGAATGAACCATTAGTGCGTCCGTTGTCACATTCCAGACGCGAATTGTCTTGTCATCCGACGTGGACACCATGTGACATCCGTCTGGGGAGAACGAAATGGAACAAACTCGGCCAGAGTGGCCCTCCAGTGGCTGCATTGATGGCTCTCCCGTCTTTGCATCCCAAATGCGGATTGTCCTGTCATCCGAGCC